TAAAAATAACTCAAAAAGGGGATACATAGCATTTTGGGCCGATTTTTATTTTTTGCAGGATTGAGCTAATCTTTGGCAGACTGACTTGTTTTGACATGAAAAGCATCGTTGTGTGATTGTTTTTGCTGATTTGCACTTCGTTTTCAAGAAATAATGTATGCAAAAAACTCAGTTTTCCAAGGGTATCTTTTGGAGATCTTTTGTTGAGCGAAAAACAAAAAAAACCCTTTCATTTTGCTACATGATGAAGTCACCAAAGCGTGGCATTTGCCGCTAGTTTTATTATTCATATAATTACACTTGCTTCGTTAGCGCAAGCGAATAAGGTGCTGAACAGGCCGGATTTGAGTTTGTTTTGTTGTGACACCGGTTTGATACGAGGTCTGTTGATTTTTTTTCCGGTCTATTTCTCTACTTCTTTTAAAAATCAAAACATCTATTTTAAAAAAACTGTGCTGTCAAAGCTGCTGAAAGTAACCGTTTAAGTTCACGCCGCGTCAAAATCCACCTTCGAAGGATTCGCTCCAAAAGATGCCGCTCGGAAAACTGAGTTTATTTGCATACATTATTTCTCAAAAACGAAGCGCAAATCAACAAAAACAATTACGCAACGATGCATATGCTTTCCATGTCAAAACAAGTCAGTCTGCCAAAAGTTAGCTCAATACTGCAAAAAATAAAAATCGGCCCAAAATGCTGTATACTTCCTTTTTTGCACGAAAGCCTTCAATTATTACCCTCTAGCACTAAGCTGAACCTGTTCAAAGCTGCCATTCTACCTTATTTAACTTACTGCCACATTGTCTGGCATTTCTGTTGTGCTAGTGACAGAAGAAAATTGAAAAGAATACAGGAAAGGGCACTCAGAGCTATTTACTGTGACAAAACGTAACTAGATAAGGCAGATCTATGCACTCTTCAAAACAGAAGGCTGGAGGACTTAGCTATTCTCATGTACAACATAAAGAACAAAATATGTCCCAAGTACATGTATATTGCTGGCCTATTTCATATATCCGAGAAGAAACACGCCATGCGAAACAATGATTTTTTAGCCCTAGATTTAAGACAATAACATATGAGAAGCACACTATCAGACATTTCTCATTAGTAGTAGCAGGAGCAGGAGCAGTAGCAGGAGCAAGAGCAGGAGCAGGAGCAGGAGTAGATAGTAGTAGTAGATAGTAGTAGTAGGAGCAGGAGCAGTAGTAGATAGTAGTAGTAGATAGTAGATAGTAGATAGTAGATAGTAGTAGTAGTAGTAGTAGCAGTAGTAGATAGTAGTAGTAGTAGATAGTAGTTGAGTAGATAGTAGTAGTAGTAGATAGTAGTAGTAGATAGTAGTAGTAGTAGTAGTAGTAGATAGTAGTAGTAGTAGTAGTCGTCGTCGTCGTCGTCGTCGTCGTAGTAGTAGTAGTAGTAGTAGTAGATAGTAGTAGTAGTAGCAGTAGCAGTAGCAGTAGCAGCAGCAGCAGCAGCAGCAGGAGTTATTTGGGTCATTTGTGATTCATATTTTATTATAACTGGACAAGAACTTTAAGTGAAAGAACTGTATCATTTAGCATTACAATTCGGAGTCTAGCTACGATTTGGACGGCTGCGAAGTACACATTTTTTTACATTTCAAAGTGCGGGTTGCCAGTTGAGATCGCCGTGTTGTATAATTATAATTAGGCTGGGATCGAGAATTTGCTGGTCCATTTGGGTTATAAAGGTACAAACAATGACTGAAGAGTTAGCTTACAGCTCTTAAAGAGTTACAAAGATGTCAATGAACACGAAGAGTTGGTAATT